TCGAAACAAAAAGAAAACCGACACTTAGGGTCTCGTTAGACACTCCTTAAATAATCCAAAAAAAATTAGGTCGAGTCCTAATACTACGCCTCACTGGGCTTACACACTGACCATAGAATAGCTAGTCTTTCCATAAGAACACACTACTATCTTTGTACAGTATACAGGGATGCTGGACCCGGTTTCCAGCAGGTGCAGCTCCCCACCAATAGATGGAGCCTTCAGCACGGGAACCCACTTACCGGGGATGATCTCACCTCGGTAAGTGGGCTACCCAAATATGAAGTTACAATAAAGAAAACAAAAATGACAAGTCCTAAAAGATTTTTAGGATTTGGTGCGTGCTAGTTAGAAGCTTCCTAAAAATTCAACATTTAGTAGTAGTCCGAAAAGTTATACCCGACCAGTTTCGTATACGTACATGGAGCCGCACCGCCGATGTCCGGCCATCGCCGTCCCGTGTCCGTGGTACATAGGGGTGCGGAGCATCATTGTGTTTCGCCTGCCCAATCCCAATTGCGTCAGTGGCGTGCAACGCATGCCCCAACGACGAAGACAGGCGGGCGACGTCGATGTCGAGCACACGCACAAGGTCGGCGATGGAGGTGGATGTTGGTGGCGTCGGCCATGTGTTGTCTGCTGAGGAGCAGGATGCGGTAGTGCTGGCAGTGACGGTCGTTGTTCTCCGCCCGCAGATCGGCAAAGCATCGTCGGCGCACCACCCCTTCTCTCCCCGTAAGACTTCCGCACCCAATGGTCGACTACAGCAGGGGCAGGACACCACATGATGTTTCCAAGATTCGCCCCGTCCCCACCCCCGCCCCCCTCCCCACCGCTACCGGTTCTTCCCGTTGTCGTCATCATGCCGCTGAAGGCTTGCAATGTCCGCGCAGTTGGCCCACATACTTCTGCACCACGGAGTTGTGGACATTGCTGCCCCGCACGCGTCAGCGCAGCTCCGTGGAACGCGAACTGTAAGGAGCTCGTGGGGATTCCTAATTTTTTTTACGAACGTTGTTTTCACATTTTTCTTCACGACCTCTTTTTTTTTTTTTTTTTTTTTTTTTTTTTTGAGACGATGCTCCAATCTATTCGTGGGGAGCAACACGGCTGGGAACCGGGCCCTGAGTCCCTTATCAGATCAACAAAATGAGCTACCGGGGCCATTACCTGGCTTCGGCTAAGAGCAATTGAAGAAAAGGGAAAACTCAGAAACATTCATGGTCCACTACTCAACCTCTACCAAGTCACTAGAATATGTGTGTCAAAAAGTCTCCCAACCACAAGTCAGATAGGTGAAACCTATTCAATCCACCTACAACCACCACCAGCATGGTTGTTTTCAGCACGAACCGAAGCTCTTCAAGGCCTCATGCTCCCATCAGGTTAGGTTACAAAGTTGTACCACCTTGCTCCGGCACTGGCCAACATTGCTCCAGTTACGACCCCCGATGACCACTGAGACTGCCCCCGCAAACAGCCCCCCAGATCTCTCTACCAGGCCTCACGCTCCCACTAAGCTAGGTCATAGAGTTGCGCCACTTGGCTCCGGCTCCGGCCAGCATTGCTCCAGCGTTGGTCTTCGAGAGCCATCGAATTTTCGGCCACCCTTCGCAGGATCACAGATGACTTGTCAGATAGCACCTATTTTCCTACAACCTTCTCGAGAGGCAAGCCAAATGGAAAGAAATACTAAACTGGAGGTTAAATTTATTTGAGAGAGATCGCCCCTCCCTCCCCCTCCCCCTCCCCCTATCCCTCCCCCCTCAGCCCTTCACTGCCTCTGCCGAGGCGAGTCACCCACTCTCCCTCGGCCCCAATATAGGACCAACCAGGGTCACCAGCCCGTACCCGTACGTACGGAGGTCCCCAGGCCGACTTCCGTATGTACGGAGGTCCCCGGCCTGACCTCCGTACGTACGGGCGTTCGGTGTCCGAACCCGAAGGCGTTCGGCCCCCGCCAAAAATGATTCGGGGCCTAAACATACATTTTTGTTTCTGATTTTTTTTGTTTTTCGTTCTCTATGCTGTGAGGTAAGTGCCTATAAATTTTGAAGTCATTTTGCTGAGCCAATTAAAAATTAAAAATCTCCAAAAATGGTGGTGTCAAAACGCGGCTATTTTGTTTTTTTTTTCCACTTTTTACTTTTTGTTTTCACTTTATTCCGGGGCCTAAACAATTCTATTATATTTTGAATTGTGTTTAGTGAGTTTTGTATTTTAGTATACATCTGTAAATTTTCAGGGCATTTGGCTGTGCCAAAAAAAAAAAGAAAAATCGCCAAAGATGGCGGTGTCGAAAACGTTCTCGCTCACTCACTAATTTTAATTCTCTTTTCCTTTTTTCTTATTTTTATTATTAGTTTTATTTTCTGTTTTTAATTTTCATTTCAAATTTGGTAAGGAATTTGGATGTAATGCTCAGGCAAATGTTTGTTATTTTATTTGTCTTCATAACACATCTTTTTTTCAGATATTTTTGAGATGTTTTTTTTTTTTTTTTTTTTTTTTTTGGTCCGCGTTCGGCCCGAACGGCTGAGCTCATCCCCAAGGGGTCCCATACGTTCGGGGGTTCGGGTTCGGGCGTTCAGCCTGTCCGGAACGCCAGTTACCCTGGGACCAACCCTCTACCCTCCTTTCCCCAGGAGCACGCAGTTCCGACCTAAAGCATTTCTGCCTCCGCTGGGATTGATGGTGACCCACACACCAGCCCCTGCCCCAAGATAAGGCAACCCCCTACTCCGCCCCTACCCTCTTTGAGACATTCACCCCCCACCTTGTGATGCCCCTGCAAGATAGAGCTCCCCCCACCCCCTTCTTACCGTTCAGCCCTCGGGGAACGATCCGATCCAGCCGACTACAATTATTGATGACACACTTGCCAAAATGTCGATTGCAATTTGGAAAAGCAGGGCCTCTTCGAAAACCCCCTACATCGTTAAGAACAACCCACTCAAAAAAGCGCAGGGCAGCAGTAAGACTATTACAATTATTCCCCTGCTCCTTGCGCCAATCAACGTTTGGCAGCTCCCACCATGTGCACGTATCACCAATTTAAGAGAAGCAAAAAACTAATTATCGGAGAGGATCTTCAAAATTTATAGCTATAATAGTAGAATTCCGAAGTTTTCGGGTTCCAAGATTAGAAAATCATGATAGAACTTTACTTGGGACTTTTAGAAATTATAGTCGAAATTCAAAGATACGTAATTATAGAACAGATCCCTACGAATTGTGCTGGTGATTCAGAATGGATAATTATGTTTGTGTGTATGTGTGTACATGTAGATGAGAATACTTTACTTGGGACTTTTAGAAATTATAGCCGAAATTCAAGGATATGTGTGTATGTTAGATGATAATTTAGCTGATAAGAAAATAGAGGATAAGATTGTGAGTTTATTTTTCCAAAATTGAGAAGCTGAATTTATAACTGTGTAAGCATTAAATTAGAGCAAGAATGTAGGAAATTAGAAGATACAAAATAAAATCAGCCAGATCAGTTTGAAAAGGCAGCCGACGCGAATAGCGCCAGACATGTTCGCACAAAATTCACCTGCTCCATCGCCGCTGTCATTATAGTGCCGCTACCTGCTTCCGCGTTGGCGGTACCCACCTGCTTCCTTGTCTTTAACCGATGAACCAGGTCAAATGAATGCCTGAAATTAGGAAGCTTCTAACCACAATGCATTCCTAAAAACTGGCGCTCTTAGGAGTGTCTAAGGAGACCCTAAGAGATTCGACCCTAAGCTATTCTTCTCTCAATCCCACCTTACACGAGAGAACATGCAGGGGCTACGCCTGGCCTGACCTGCAGGTGGGCGATACCAGGCAGGGGACAGCCGGTAGCATCAGGGACCATGCTAAGGGATCCCTGCGCCTCCCCTCCGGTCCCCTTCCCTACGAACATCAGCAGTCTCTGCTCAAATGCCGACCGGGGGATCCAGCGGTCAGAAGCTAAGCTTTAGGGGAGGGAAGTAAAAAGGCAAAAAAAAAGGAGGCCCGGGACGCTCTAGGGTAGGGAAGGGGACGGGTGGCACGGCAATCTACAAAATCCCAGACCGCCTTTTTTCGAATTGCAATCTGCAAAATCCCAGGCCGCCTTTTTTTCTAATCTGCTAATTATTTTATTATTCCGCGAGTGATGAGTTAACCCGGCCGGCGTACCCATATGCCGGAAAAATCCGTGTGACTGTCTGATTTAAAAAAAAATAATAAAATAATTAGCAGTGCCTGAACGCGAGCCGCCCGTTGATGGCTTCAGCGCCAATTGGTTGAGGACGTCGCCCACTATCACATGCAGCCGTGAATGTCCTCTGAGGGCAAGCTCACACTAAGACTGGCATGGATGTATCTGAGCGCAATTACATCACGACCTGAATGTAGACGACGCTAATTACGTCCAGAGCTCAGTCGAAAAAGTCTGCGTGTGAGTACGGCCGGAGTCTCTTCTTGAAGCACCCGGTGTGTCTGTGTTCTTGCTTCTTTACCTTTTTGCTTTTCATGACAGTTTCGCGCGAGGCGCGTGCGTCTTTGCGTGCGTGCTTGGTTGCTGTAGTTGGTACGTTGGTTGCGTGTGTGCGTGCATATATGTCCGTGAAGAGAGAGAGAGAGAGAGAGAGAGAGGATTCATATCCTGCTGTTTGCTGTTCATCTGGTCTGGGCTCTGACTGCTTCCCGCTTTCTCTACACACACACACACACACACACACACACACACACAGAGAGAGAGAGAGAGAGAGAGAGAGAGAGAGAGAGAGAGAGAGAGAGAGAGAGAGAGGATTCATATCCTGCTGTTTGCTGTTGATCTGGTCTAGACTCTGACTGCTTCCCTCTTTCTCTATCTTTCGCGCCATGTCGATGCTAGTCCTGGATTGCCTCGAGATCAAGTGGTTGTGGAGGAGGTTTGTCATCGAAGAGTGTGCTTGAGGGAGGGAGGGGGAGATCCTTCGGTGTTAGTTGAGACTAGTTGGATGGCCGCAGAGGAGCAGAAGTTGTGGCGGTGGCAGCACCATCATTATCAGCAGCAACATCAGTAGGAAGAGGAGGAGGAGAGATGGGATGGAGGCTTTGCGTGGAGAGAGGGGGGAGGAGGCGATTGGGTGAAAGTTCCCTTCTCTAAGAGGAGGAGAGAGGGAGGAGGAAAAGGAAGGCGATCGAGTGAATGTTCTTTGTTCCGGAGGTGGAGGAGGGAGGGGAGAGAGGGAAGGGAGAGGGAGAGGGAGGATGTCATCCTCTTCTGCGACTTCGTTATGCTCTTCTTCGGCTTCGTCAAGCCACGTGGCATCGTCAAGCCACGTGGCAGCTTCTCACTCCGGTTTGTCCCATCATGGGGCATTGTCTGAAGCGCGCCGAATGCTGAAAGAAGTGGCTTCTGCAGGAAGGAGGAGGAGGAAGCCAACAGAATGCGACACGTCATCCTCACCGAATAATGGTAGCAGTGGTATTACCCATTTCCCGCCAAAATGCTCGCCAGCATCGTCTTCATCATCATGTCTTCCCTCTTCGTCGTCGTCATCATTACTATTAGGATCAGCAGCAGCAGGAGGAGCAGTAGGGGGAGGGGGAGGGGGAACGCCACCGCTGTCTGCTGAGCAAGACACGTGGCAGGTTGTGCAGACCTGTCTTGGTCTTCTTGAAGCTTTTGGATATGACCATACCCCTCGACCATGTGAAGAAACGGATAAGGTTGGTAAAGGATCATTGGATCTGGAAAAGGATAAAGATAAGCTGGAGGAGGAGGAGAAGGAGGAGGACGAGGAGGAGGAGTTGAATTCGAGAGATCGAACGGTCATATGGGCTGTTCTGGAGTTGATCGTGCGGTGGGGAATTTATCCTGCGCTGAAAATTGAGTTGGCAGAGGCCTTAGCCGGTAGATTTACGAGTAGCAAGGGTGCGGCATCAGTAGCGGCGGCAGCCGCGGTAACGGCGACAAAGAGGGGTGCTGACGTGGACGCTGCATCTGCTGCCACGTCAGCGCTTGGCAGTTCCGAGCACTTCTTCGATCATGTCCATGCTGTCCAATCACCTGGTCCACGTGGACTTATGGCTTGCGCAGATGCATTGGCATCCATCTTGTTGAAGGGAGGAGGAGGAGGAAGATGGGAAGGAGGACGACGAGAAGGGGGAGGAGGGGGAGGAGGAGGAGGAGGAGGAGGAGGAGAAAGATCATCTAAGAGGAGTCGTTTGCGATCATTGATTCAGAGGCGTGTGCTGTCGCATCATCTTGCTGACGTGGCAGCCGCTTATCTCCAGTTGATCCATAGTTCTGAACAGTGCCACGTGGAGAGTGGACATGATAGATACGCACATCAGCCTTCCTCTCTCTCTTCATCCGTCTCTTCACCTCCTCCTCCTCCTCCTCCTCCTCCCTCTCATCATCATCCTGAGGATAAATCCTATTCTTATGCAGATAATGGAAGAAGTGCAAGTGCGCTTACTACTGCTTCTGGTCCTCTACTTGGGAAAACTGGTCCTGCTTGTGCTGTATCTGCTGCTTCTCCATCCTCCTCCTCCTCCTCCTCCCCCTTCTCCTCCTCGCCCTTGTCATCGGTATCCTCATTAGCAGGATCAGTAGAGACATCATCCACTTCTCTCTGTCTCGTGGAGAGGAAGTCCTTAGAAGATAAGTTGTCCCTGCTAATTGAGAGGATTGCGCCTGAGTATTCGGTCGAAGCATTCATGGCACTTCTGTCTCTACCGTCTAAGCAAGAAAGAGGAGAGAACCACGAGGAGGAGGGAGAGAGGAGGGAGAAGGTGGGTTGGAATGGGATGTCAGGAGGAGGAAGAGGGCGAGGAGGAGGGAGATCCACTCCCTCTCCTTCTCTCCCATCTAAGCCCCCAGCCCCGCTTTCGGCAGACCCGCAGTACACGTGGCTGCGTCGATCGTGCGGGCGAATTTTGTCGGTTGTGATGATGCGTCCCGACGGCGTGGCTTCTGTCCTGTCTCGCATGATTGGGTACGTTGACGGCGGCAATACGTCCTTGTTTGCCAGGGCGGCAGCCCACGTGGCCTCGATCCCGACCACCGTGGCGACCGCCGAGACCTACTACTCGAGTATCTGTCCACAATTGTCGTCAATCCTTTTGAATCGCGATCGGGATCGGGATCGGGATCGTCTTCCAGGCACCAAGAAGATGGGGGGAGGAGTAGGAGGAGGAAGGGATGAAGAGCAAGAAGAAGAACGGATGGGTAGGAGTGGAATGGGAGAAAGTGTGATGAAGAATGTGAGGTCGGCGGCTCTCCACGTGGCATGCGACATGATTCGCAAAAGACCTGCTCTGGGGAAGAAACATTTTGTGGATCCTCTGCTTGTCCCCCTGAGGAAATGGTTCCTCAGGATGCAGCCACGTGGCAACAGGAGAAGCCGTGTGATTTGTGTAGACAAAGTCTTGAAAGTCGGTCGCGATCGACGGTCAGCGACGACCGAAGAGGAGGAAGAGGGTAAGCAGGAGAGGAACGAGGAGATGCAGAAGGACGAGAGGAGGGAGGAGGAGGAAAGAAAAGGGGAGGAGTCGGAGAAGAGAGGGGAGATTGAGGAAAACGAGGAGGTAGTCGAGGGGGAACTGGTTGAGTGTTTGTTGCAGGTTCAGGCGCTTCTGACCTTTGGTGGAAAGGGTGGGGACGTGGCCAGAAGAATAGTCCTCGCAGAGACACGTCAGATGGCTCCAATGATTTTCGATCTGTATTGTAGCGTTAGACTTTATCTTCGAGAAAAGGCAAAGAAGGAAGAACTAGAAAGGATACGGAGAGCGAAGAGAGTAGAAGGGGAAGAAGAAGATAACAGAGAGCAGACTAAGGACGGCGCATTCAGAGCTGCTTCTGCTGCCACGTGTGACAAAGAGAGCAGTATAGGCAACAGCAACGGCGAAAGGGCGATCAAGGGGAGAGCAGTAGGACGAATGGGAGGAGGAGGAGGAGATGGAGAAGGAGGAATGGGGGTAAGTGTAGGGGAGAGAGTAGGGGGAAGACTAGGGCGAAGAGAGAGAGGAAGAGGAGGAGGAGGAGGAGGAGAATATCCGGGGCAAGTAGGAGTAGGGGGGAGAATAGGGGCAGGAGTAGGGGGAAGGATGGGAGGAAGAATAGGGGGTGGATTAGGGCGAGGAGAGGGGGGTGAGAGAGGAGGAGGAGGAGGAGGAGGAGGAGGTCCGGTGCTGAGAAAAGGGTTTCTTGAGAGAGGTCTTGACTTTGAATGGGACTTAGCCACTGATGGAAGAAGTGCTAGAGCCATCAGGAATGTCAGAGCAGCCTGTGCAGATATACTTGGTGCCCATTTCGCTGCTTCTGAGGATGATGTTGGCTCTGCTGTTTCGGCCTGTGACTGTGATCTTGGTGATGAAGAGGGGGATGGTAATCGTGGAGGAAGAGGAATTGATGTGCTTTGGTCTTGTGTGACTCCTGGAGGTAGCAGAAGGGGTAGGAGGAGCAGTAGTTCGGGAAAGAGGAACGGTGAGCAGGAGGAGAAGGAGGAGGAATGGAGATCGAGATTGATGAAGCCCAGACGTAAGGGAGGAGATGGAAGAGGAGGAGGAAGAGGAAAGGAGATGGAACTCGACAAAGGGCAAGAGGAAGGGGGGAGGAGAGAATCTGTATGCGTACTGTGGTGGCCGTCGAAGGATGGCGGAGAGGTTGCTGATGCTGTTGACCTGGCTGCTTCCAGGCTGACGTGGCGCCACAGGGCATGGTTTGCCAGTGTTCTTATCGAATCGGATGATTGGAAACTTGCAGCAGATTTGATGCATCTGCTTTTGGATAAGCTTATCCATTTGAGGAAGGAATATGGCATCAGAGGCGAAATGGAGGAGTGGCAGAATCAAGGGCCAGCAGCCACATCGTCGCTAAATTTAGCACAACAAGAGGTGCATCGTGAAGAGGAGTCTAATCGAAGGCGAAGGAGCTTAGTCCCTCCCTCACAATCATCCTCCCCCTTTGCCGTGATTGTGGGAGAAGGGAGGGAGTTGGCCATCGCTCTCTCCGAGGTGTTGGACACATTCTCAGAGCGAATCGGTATTCGTGCTCTGCAGCAAAGTGGGGCCTGCACGCTTCGGCTTGTCAAGAACCTGCTGGAAAAGGGTGATGTCCTAACGGACATCGGGATCCTAGTCAAACTGCTGGTTCTGGTACAATCATTGGTCTCAAGTGCCAGAAGGGCTGTCATGCTTAAAGGCCTTGTTGAAGGGATTGAAAATGAGAACAAGTTGCAGAGCAATGAGGCGAAGGACCTCCTCAATGAACTCCTTCCTTTGTTGAAAAGGATTGACGACATGTACCCTGCAGAAAGCCCCGTTGTGGGAATCACACAGGGCTTGCTTAAGGCAATCCCTGACATCATAGCCGATCATTCGTGAACGACCTTATGAAAACCAAATCAGTCAATGAACAAAAGGAATGAATGAATCCATACATGCACATGCAGGGCGTCCAGTATATACGGCTCTCTCTCTCGTCTTCTTTTCTCTGCCTATCTATTGATTGGTCTGCGTCGATTTGTCCCTCCAGCTGTCTGTTTGTCTGAATCTGTGTGTGTGTGTGTGTGTGTGTGTGTGTGTGTATGTGTGTGTGTGTGTGTACCTGTCTGTGTCTGGGTGTCTGTCTCACTATCTGTGTGTGTGTGTGTGTGTGTGTGTGTGTGTGTGTGTGTCTGTGTGTGTGTGTGTACCTGTCTGTGTCTGGGTGTCTGTCTCACTATCTGTCTATCTGTCTATCTGTCTATCTGTTCGCCCATCTGTCTGTTCATCTGCTGATCCTTCTGTGTGGCTTCTTTTCTTTTCTTTTTTTTAAGAAGATGCAGGCTGTCTTTCTCCTCGTATGCGGGACGGCTGCATTTACTATGCTATTTTCTTCTCTCAATATTCTTCCATCTCACACTACCTACCTCGGACTGTGCACTCAAACTGGTCGACCCACCTTCCGATCCTGCAATGGAGTTGGCAACCCAACCAGCAAGGAACCCAGCTCCAATCGTCGGTGCAATGATCTTTCGGTTGGTCCGTTGTTACACCATCTGACCATTTTGTCTGCCGCTCTCATTGCCTGTTCATCCAATGGCATCTGTTTGTCATTCCGTCCGTCCGTCTATCCGTTGTCACCCATCGTTGGACCATCCATCTGTTTGGGTCGGCCAGTCTGTTCATCCGTTCATGTGTCTGGAAGTCCGTCCATCTGGCTGTCTATCTATCCGACTGCTCACCCACCTCTCCACTGGGCCATACATTTGTACCTGTCTGTGTCTGGGTGTCTGTCTGTCTATCTGTCTATCTGTTCGCCCATCCGTCTGTTCATCTGCTGATCCATCTGTCTGACTTCTTTTCTTTTCTTTTCTTTTTTTTAAAGAAAATGCAGGCTGTCTTTCTCCTCGTATGGGGGACGGCTGCATTTACTATGCTATTTTCTTCTCTCAATATTTTTCCATCTCACACTACCTACCTCAGGCTGGGCAGACTGTCGGGGTTCAACCTCCTGATGAGTCGGTGAAAGTCTGAAGAAACAGTCTGGCACAGTCGTGCTTTTTTTGAGTGTATAGTGAATATGACAACACACCCACATTATAGTACTGCACATATCTGGCCTTCGCGCACATACATCTCGCGATACAGTTACACAGAGCACACATAGACTGCACATATCTGGCCTTCGGGCACATACATCTCGCGATACAGTTACACAGAGCACACATAGCCTTCGGGCAGATACAAAACGCATGGCCCTATGGGCGCATACAACAAACATACATAGCCTCTGGGCACACGCACATACACACAACTACGATACTGGGCTGGGGGAGTCTATCAGGTATATGACGGGGTCTACTCACGCATGGCTTAGCTCTAGGGTAGGGGTAGGGATATAAGTCGCTCCGGCTAGTCTGAGTTCCGCCTAGCCTTGGGTAAGCTAGGGGAAGGACGGTAGGATGTATCCGCGGGTGCTGGCCTGCCTTGCTTAGGTAATCCTGCAGGGTAGACTCTCTGAATTGGGCCTGTAGAAGATTGCATGAGCCTGGCGTCCGAAGTTCCCGTACGGCAAGGTTCGTCCACTTCCGCTTCCATCAGGGCTGGCAGGTTGGCCCAGCCTTGGTGCTTGTCACTGCTGTCTGGTCCAAGTTGCCCTCGATACTGGTAGGATGATGGTCCTGAGTGCTGGTCACACTGAGGTAGGATAGTAGGGACAGGGGGTGCACTGGGAGTATTAACGTGGGGATGGGTAGGATAGGTGGCCTATCCTGTTAGGACAACCATTGGCTGCCGCATCCAGCAATCACCGCGGGTCTGGTCCTTGGCCTCTACAACACCCTGGGTTAAAAAAAAAAAAAAAAAAAAAACCACCCACATTCCTTCCTACTTTCTCTTGCGCTACTAGTAAATGAATAAGAAAGAGCATCATTAAAAGAACAGACAAAATATAAGCTGAGATCTGAAGTAAAATGAACAGGAGTAACCTTCCCATTTACTCTTGCCTCCTTTTATGATGTGCAAGTGGGTCGTTATGGCACACGGGAATGTGGGCAGCTCGAGCTCAACCACAATCAATGTGATGAGACATGAGAAGCACAGTAAAAGGGGAGTCGCAAGAACAAATGAAAGGGGCACCCCCCAAAGGCCAAAGGGGTACCCCCAAAAAAGCCAAAGTTAACAGTTGAGGAAGGGATTTAAACCAGTAAAAGGGGAGTTGCAAGAACAAATGAAAGGGGTACCACCCAAAAAGCCAAAGGGGTACCCCCAAAAAAGCCTAAGCGAACACTGTTAAGAAAGGGATTTAAACGCTCCTATTATGCTCCATGGTGCTTGCTATAGAGGTAAAACTGTCTCATTGTTGGATTGTTGCAAACTGAGTGTGTTCGTTGTGCAATGAATCCACTCAATGAGAAGCTCATTAATGCCGAAATACAAAATGTGTTAGCGCAGAATCAATGTGTCTTGAAATCGTTCGTTAAACCATATTCATCATCCAAGTGGCATCCCACTGTCAAATGCACAGAGAAGAAGTAGAGGAGAGAGGGAGGTGAGACTTAGAGGGTGAGAGAGAGAGTTTCCACCATCATCGTTGAGCAGAGAACACTTGCTGCCCACTTCCTCATCAAGCGTTGCCTCCCAACTCGCCATGTCAGCAACAGATCCACTCTGGCATTCTCTGACAATAAGCAGGTTAAAGCAAGCCGCCCATCCTCCAGCCATGTCAGTGGTGGCTTAGGAGGATGGCGCAGATCCTTCCTTCGGAGATGAACAGTAAAGCACAGTGTCGACACAGTCAAACAGGTAAGCTTTCCTTCCTCTATCGAACCAGTCTCACAGCTGTGATCCTTCCTCCTCCTCGCCCACTCCCATCAATGTTGGAATCAGTGTGGCCCCAGCCATGTCAGCATAATCAAGTGCGGTGCTGGCACCGACGACAGAGAATGGTGCCAGCATAAAGCTCTGGCAGTCTTGCGTCGTCGCATCAACGTTAAGCCAGCGACAAGCCAGCGTCGAGCCAGCGTCAAGCAGCATGTACAAGATTGAATGTCGTCCATTAGGGACTGGGTCAACTTGATAAGTTGACGTGCGTTGACCGACCTCTGGTCTCTCACATACGATGGCCCAGATCGTTCGTCAGCCAATGGTCTGGATTCCGTACAGTTGCAGAAACCAAAGTATCCCTCTTGGGCTTGATCTCATTCGGATATCTCCAAACAACCAGAGGTGTGTATCGGATCTGTGGCCGAGGTTTGGTTCGGGTCTGTGTGACACCCTGTACGAATAAGGGGCGTCCGTACGGCCCACACGGCTGTACGTACGGCCGTATGAGCCATTTTGACGGCCTTCCTGGGGGGGGTCTGACATGTGAAAGGGTGGGGGGGGTTCTGACATGTGAAGGGGTGCACACACGTGCGCGCGCTGAGAGACAGACAGAGAGAGAGGGAGCGCACACTCTAACATAGCTGTGCGCCTATGTGCGAGTTTTTTTTTTTTTTTTTTGAATCAATCAATCAATCAAGCATTCGATCAATCAACAACCAATCAATCAATCAATCAATCAATCAATCAATCAATCAATTTTTATTTCTCCACTTTTTTATTCCCGTTTTGATTATTATTATATTTTTTTAATATAAGAAAAGATAAAAAAATAAAATAATAAATATGGGGGTGTAGAGTTTGAAAAGCTCTACATCCCCATATGTATATATATATTTTTTTTCGTTTTTTTTGTGGGGGGGGTTCGTCATTTTGTAAGCGATTGTTAATACGGCTGTACGACCGTTCATATGGCTGTATGACCAGAGCTTCGTACGACATACGGCTTTGTATCTCAAGTCGAGGTTGACTGTTGACTTTCCCAAGGTCAACTGCCTCGGTTTGGGCTTTTGAAGGTCTGTTTTGGCTTGGCTTTGGGTTCCCCTTAGTGGTGGCCCTTCGTGTAAGCATTCTCATGACTTAGGGCGTGATTTTGACCCATGTTTTGGGCCTTTAACCAAAAGTGGCCACCCAAAGCCCACGACTGATGCATACTTGAGCCGAGTTAGTCCATTCCATACGGCCCAAGTTTGAGTTCCATCGCAAAACTATTTTTTTTAGGTTCGGTTATCTTTTAACCCATTGCTCATATGCAGCGACAATGTCAAGTGCAGTAGGTAGAAGTTATTTCTTAGTAAACCATCTTGATTCTGATTTAGGTTGAGTCTTGAACTTCATCTTGTACTGCTTTTATGTTCCAGAACTTCCAGTATTCGTTCGACTTCATATCTTTCATTCATGCAAGGAGGAAATATGGATGGTCGATTGGGAAACGTATGACCTTGTACATATGGTAGCAATTTGGAGGCGTGAAAGACGGGATACGTCTTGAGGTGAGGGGGTATGTCAATTCGATATGACGGTCCATCTGCGTCCCCTATCACCTTGAGAACTTTTCAGGGTTCGTAGTAGACAGGTAACAATATTTGAGACACATTCTTTTAAAGGGAAAATTCTTTAGACTTTACCCTGGGATGGTCGGCGATGCTTATTTGCTTGTTCGCTCATCCGCATTTGGGCTTTCTGAATATTTTCCTTTGCTTTAACTATGTCTTGTTTATGGAGAATTGTAAATTCTCTTGTACCCGGGAAAAGTCGTCGGACTTGTTCCCAGTAGTCAAAGCACCAATGAAACGTTTCGGCATCCAACCTTTATGAAGTCTCTTATGCGTTCGATCTGTCACAGTGTGAACACTATCGTTGTAAACACTTGCAATTTTATATAAGTTCTCGTCCCAATCAATCTGCCAGTGATCCGTAACCATACATACGAAAAAGTCGTTGGCACAATCTGTTCATCTGCTCAGTTTGGCTAATTTGTTTCAGGATCATATCTAGTGGACGACATGATCAATCTTGTGCTATACGCTTCCGTCAACATTTGTCATTGCTGGCCAGTGAACCATACCTCCCAATC